TTCAAAGAGAGTAAGATGGATTCATGTTTGGTACTCCCTTAGAATTCTTAAATAAATGCAAGGAGAGTCATGTGGGCTCCTGCTTAATGCTCTCTTAGAAGTCATAAGTTATAGCCAAGCTTTGTTCCTAACTAAAGGCACATAACTTATTCAAAATATCAAGGGTGCCTCGTTAAAACCCATGCCCTTGCATGGGAAAAGAGTGTTACCTTAATATGATATTTTATTGGTAGTATTTCATGATTACATATCAATCAACCCTAAGGCTTTATTTCAACTATATCAATGTATAATATTTATAATGTTCCAAGTTCTCAAAACCTCTTTGCCCTCCAAATTTTCCAAATTTTCAAGCTTGTATGCTCCTCGGGATAATTTATGATGTACTTGGTAGGATCCTCCCTAATTGGTATATAAATTGCTTTTCTGATTGGGTCACTACTTGTTTTAGCACCAGGTCTCCCTCTTTTACCTTTCTTGGTTTCACCTTGGTGTTATACCTCTTTGTCGCTCTTTGTTTTACCACAAATTTATGAATCTGAGCCATTCCTCTGACTTCTTCTATCAATTTGACTAAACTTCTGAGTTCGACTTGATTGTCCTCTTCATTAAAGTGCTCTCATCTCTAAGTAGGTGTGTCGATCTCAATTGGAACTATTAAGTTTAAACCATAAGCGATTCGGAAGGGGGTTTCCATGGTCGATGAGTGAGTGGTCAAGTGACAAGACCATTGTACATGTAATACTTAGTGATATCTATTGTATTCATGTTATAGAGTAGAGAGTATTTCTATTTATTATTTAAAAGTTATTTTCTGGAATATAAGTTACCTCATGAAGTTGCTTAGTCCAAAGTCCCTGGGTTTCGTTAAATTTTTCTCTCATATTAGTGAGTATGATCTTGTTGGCCGACTTCACTTGACTGCTCTCTTAGGGCTGCTTGACCGAGATACACTTTGTGTGATTCCTAGATTTAAAAAATAAACCAAAAAAAAATGGTGAACTGTATACCATTGCCAGAGGCTATAGTCTTTGGTAACCCAAACCTGTAAGTAATGTTTTCCGATGAAAATGATGTACCTTATTCGCGGCTATCTTCGTCATTACTTAGGCCTCAATCCATTTGGTAAAATAATCGACATCGTGTTTATCGTTATTTTTGGTAAATCAAATCACAAGTTTTTATTCACTTACAAGATTAAACTCGAAACAATCCTAGGACATATTTGTGCAAAAGATCTGAGAAAAATACATTTATGCTTTGAATATTGATGTTTGAATGTAAAGAATTAAAATGTAAACTCAAACTAAAACAATGCAAAATTGCTTTGAAAATAAGGATTAAATAAATAATATAAAAGATGAATGCTTTAAATGCAAAGAATTAAAAGAAAAGGTGCATATTCATACATCTTCTCATATACTCTTTTCTTTCTATGACTTGGATACTTAAGTTCAAAAAGAATACTTACGTGAGTTTCAAGCTTCTACACTGCTTCTGCGTGTCTTCGACATTTGAATTGCTTTGAACTACTCTTGTTGTTTCAAACTGTCTTTTAAATCTCGTAACTGCTTATGTCAAAGGTTTCTTCTATCGAACCTTAGAGCATAGTGTCGAAATGTTTAGCTACTTGTACTTAGCCTGAGAATTTATCTCATTTCTACTTCTGCTAAATCATCATAAACCTTTTCGAAATTCTAAACATGTTTTGAAGAGAAAATGATCATAATCTTGTGAATATGTTCCTAAGATTCTTCCAAACCAGACTTGATAGATTTTTAGATTATCTAAACCTTAAACTCAAAAATATACAAAGTCCTAAGCATCTGATAAGCGAGTTAGACTCGCCTTTTGCTTCTTTTGATGTGAAAAAACAACAAAACGTTATTTTGAAATAGAAAGGTTGATTAAGTGTGGAAAGAGGTTTCAGTAGGATTTAAAGAACAAATGGTAGTATGATCATGAGTGAAGCAAACATGCAAGGTGGTGTTTTATTAAATTTTTCGTTTGATAATTTCGAAAGTGCACTTCCATATTTGTCATTTAGTTGTGAAACTAACAAAATCATTGTAAGAGTGAGTTTCGAAAAACACTTCTAGATTAATTTTTGGAAAAATATAGGTGTATTGCTTAGAACATGTTTTGGTGTGAAATGAGTGTGTCAGAAGATATATTTTCAAAATGAAGAGGTGCATTTTTGAATTTTCAAATAGTGGCTCTTCACCACTTAGGGTGGGATGAGCAACCCTCACTCGTTTTAAGGTATAATTTGAAACCCAGAAAAATGTAGTGCAAGAAAGGTGTTTGATGAAATCTCACAAAGAAATTTGAATTTGTGACCGATTTAGAGACTACTAAAATTAATCACTAAAAGATAATGTTCCAATTGACATAGAAATTGAGTTCCACACCAACGTCACATAGAGTGTCATTGACTATGACTAACAAATTAGATGAAAAAAACTAATGTGGAATATTTTCAAAAATTAAAAAACTAAAATAAATCCTAAATATAAGATACGAGACGAAAAAAGATATTAAAATTGTGAACTAGATAAGTTTATAATGGAGATTCTGAAATCATCTTGATCAAAACTCCTATTTGTCTTATTAGTTTGTAGTTTGAGAGTTTTTGTAGAATTTTAGAGAATAAGACTTTAGAAGTTTGCATCTATATTTTGAAATGTGTTTGATATTTTTTAAAAATATGTGATTTTATATGCTAATGTAGTATATTTTAAAAAAAAGTTAAAAACATCAAACACATTTTAAAATATAGATGCAACTCTCCAAAACTTTCCCCTTCAAAACTCTCTAAAAACCAACTCTCAAATGGACCCTAAGGGTGTGTTTGGTTCGGGGTAGATGGAGGGGAGGGGAGGGGAAATTTTTAATTAAATATGTTTGGTTCAAATTTTAGGAGGGGAGAGGAGGGGAGGGGAGGGGAGCAAAATCCCTCCAAAACACACTTTTTGATTCCCTCCGAATTGGGGGGATTTGGAGGGGAGGGAATATGAGTTTTGATATTTAAAAATTATTATATTTACTAAAATATCCTCAGTTTAATTTTATTATTTCAAAACTATTTGTTATCTTTTGTGTTACTGTTTTTTCTCGATTGTTTTCATCAACTTATTATAATTGTTCTCCACCTTCAAATTATTTTATAATTTTTATAATTAATATAAATCATAATCATTGTCTTTTTTTTATAAAAAAAATTATGTTTCGTTATATTCGTTTTTTTCTTTTAATTTTGTTATGTACTTTATCATATTTTCTTTTATATCAAATTGTAAACCATATCATTTTATTTATTTTTGTTTATTCATTTTATTAAATATTTTGAACCATTAATATTTTGTAATAAGTTATTTTATATATTTGTTTTGTTATATGATTCATCACAATTTAAACGATGTTATTGGCATATAGTTTAATTTATGTTGGAAAGTTATAAGTCGAATCGATTGTACTCAATTTTTTAACTTTACGTGACAAATAAATATTTTTTTAATCACTCAATATTAGAAATTTTATTACTAACAAAAATACGCACGGATTTTTCACATTGTAATATCATATGACTTATATAAGATCATAAGGATAAAAATGTAAATTATTAATAAAACCCCTCCCCTCCCCTTCTGAACCAAACACATTTTTAATTAAAATCCCTCCCCTCCCCTCCCCTCCACTCTTTTGAACCAAACACTTATTTGATTAAAAAATTCCTTCACCTCCCCTCCCCTTCATTAAAATCCCTCTCTTCCCCTCCCCCTCATTTGAACCAAACAGACCCTAAGAATCTATTTGAGAGTTTGGAGAAGAAGGAAAGGAATGACTTCAACAAAAAAAAAAAATTTAAAATATAAAAAAACGTTAAACATTATTTGAAAAAAAAAGTTGTTTAAAATTATAAAATAATACTTATCATTAATATATTTTTAATTGTTGAACTACTATAACAACAAAAATTATATTTGAACAACTCTCCAAAACCTTCAAAATCTCTCATCCAATACAAATTTTTAATTCCCCCAAATTTAGGGATTTTGATATTATAAATAAAAGCAAAACCTTCCCAACCAAAATTTTTCAATTCTGTTCATTCAATCTTTCTTATTTTTCAAAGTCCTCCCTCCCTTCCCCTCCAAACTCTCAATGCCTAAGAGTACTAAATAAAGCTCTTGCAAAGGATTTACTTTGCCAATGTTAAGTTCAAGATAAAGCACATGGTATTTTCCAAAGCAAGGTTGTATTACCCATGGTTTTCTTTGCTGTAAATGACTCAATCTGGATTCAAATTCCAGACTGCCTGTTAAAACTAGAAGAGACTTGAACCATTTTACTCCAGCACTGTTAAACTCCCCACCACCAACTGATTACAGAATCAGATTGGAAGCAACTTACCAAATACCAATGGCAGCCAAGACACGCGGAAGCATGATAAATGCTTTTACAACTTATCGTCCCTGTTTTTTCCAATCTTAAAACAATCAAATACACGCATCTAAGCTTCAGAAATTCCATATTGCATTTCAGAGAATAAGGGCAGAAAAAGTATATAAATAAAATGAAATTCCTTGTCAAGCAAAACATTTCATCCAAACGTGGTAAGCAAATTTACATCTGCAAACTAAATAAAAAATACTATAAATAGCCGAGTTACACAATAAATTATAGCTGAACTACACAATAATACAACATATTCTACTTTTTTTCTTTTAGATACAAAAACCCTGTTATAATGTTACAATTTTAACATGTTAACCAGTGAGTTCGTCCATCTATCCTACTCGGTGTAACTTATGAGTACAGCCTAAATTAACTGTGCAGGATCTTTAACAGTGATGATGCATGCATGATGGAGAGCCTTGTTGACAAGAGGTAAGATGGAAACCTGATCTGAGAGACTCTTCAACCTGCTTGCACCTTGGAACAATTACATGTAATTAATTCACAATAGTATACAGGGTTCGCTTCAAGGAATGAAAGCGCTAACTTCTTCGTTTTCCACGTCTTCTACTGCTACTATTATCTATATCAATTAGCCTTGATGGTTGAAAAGGTGAGGGTGCTGGCAGGCCAATAGATTCTGGAATATCAAGATTGACTCCCGCAGTTTGGCTAGCCATTTTACGCTTGATGTTGAACTCATGTGACTGCTGAACTTCAAATCTTGCTTTGTCAATCTGTTAATCAAAATGGTGAAACAGACTATAATTAATTAAAAACCTAAACAGAGAGATAGTGCTGCTTCGTTGAGATGAGCTTACTAATTCAATATGATAAATGGATGATTGTGCATTAGCCAGTTTCTTCTGCAAATCTTTTGATATTTTTGTTTTATACTCATCATTCTCCATTTGGCTTCCCTTTTCTCCTAATTCTTTATATAAAGCTGCAAGAACCAAGTACAAAATTTTTTAAATAAATATTTTCAAAAAAGAAATGAAGAAAACACATCCCTCCACCTATCTGTTAGCATATAAAAGTTGCCATTATCCGACAGCTAATGTGTTAGCAAATTACCGAACTAGTTTTCTACAAACACTTGTCCAATGGACCGAATCAAAGTTTTGAAACATGAGTCTATGAAAACTCATTAACTCTATGTAGGCTCAACTCATAGAAGATTGTAAGATCGTGCGGGATTATGTTAGGGACCCTGTTTTGGGGGCTAGGCCTAATGAATTGATAACAGTTCGAACTCTATCACAGGGCCCCAAGGTGTGGCAAGTTTACTCAAGGAAGAGTAAGAAAGTATCCAAAGACAGTAGATGGGAGAATTAGGGATAACTAATTCTGTTAAGCTGGGGCAGGTGAATAAATAGTGGAAGGAGAGAATCTAAGAGTGTATCGAGAGAATTGCTTTGTATTCAGTTAGAATGGAGAGCATCTAGCCCTCCATACGAGCCTAGCTCTGTGGCAATTGTGCTTGTCAAATCGATCCTTCTGTAAACTTCCACAATGAAATAATAACTCATTCTCATTTTCAATTGTCTCATGATTTTTCTGCGTCTATTCGATTACCGTGAATCACGGTTTTAACTACCCGTGAACAATGAAATTAATGTTTTTCGCACCACACAGCCTTATCATTCAACTGTTGCATTTTGGGTTTTCTAACCAAAAAAAATCTTGACCATTGTCATTTTAGGCATGCATTGGCGAAAATAACCATTATTTTATTGCTAGTTCAAACACCCTCAAAATTGTGATTCTACGTGTATCTATATGAGTCTACCCAAGTTTAACTAACAATTTTGTAAGCAATCTGACTCGACTTTGATACCTAGAGACATAAGTCTATACGATTTTATGAGTTAAGTCGGGAGTTTGAACAACCATAGATATAATCAACACATTCATTTGCAATTCACACAACACTTCCTTTATGATTTTTCCTTATCATCAGGAATCTCTCTGCTACACTTTCTCCAATTTTCTTGAATTTCTCACTCTGGTTAAGCAATTATAACTTCAAATTCTTTTGCCACGAGAACAGTGTAAAAATAAATGACTGGCCTTTGATCTTCTAAATCACCAACATATATAACAGAAAATGATTTCCAACAGAATCTACAAACCAACATCGGATCGCTAATAGCAATTCAATTAGTCCAGTTCACATGAAATTCTGACTTTGAAGGGCACCTGCTTCTTTGATAAGATTAGCAAGGTTAGAACTGAGCACTTGTAGAGAAAGGAACTGGGAAAAAATAATATATTTACAAGTATAGGTTCCATGCAGTTCAGAGAGAAAAGACACCCCAACTTTCCATACCAGGCCATCTTAAACAATATTTATCAACAAACCAGAACAGAGCACACTGCAAGAAATGCAAGATAAAGTGGAAGCTATCTAAATACAGAGACAAGAATAAAACAGTGTGCTCTGCAAACTATAACTTGGGCACATTTAAATTAAAAGTAGTAAAAAAGATATGTTAACAATAAAAAACTATTAAGAGAGGTACCTGTCAAAACAGTCAGCACCCAGACTTGAGCAGGAGCATCAGAAAGCTTCTTTGCCAAGGTCAAAGACGATCTCAATATCTCCCGGGCTTGTACAGTGTCATGTAATACAAGGGCCAAACTGCCAAGGGTTGTCAAATATTGGGAAAGAAGCTGATGGTTCCCCAAAAAATTATGTGCCAGCTGCAATCCATTTGCCAAGCGATTTCTACAACAAATTTAAAACTTAAGAGGAAAGAGGAAGAAATAAAAACATCAAACTAAGGCACATAAACTGTTCTTATTGTTTGTATCCATGTAATGTGTTAAAATATTAAAAGATATCTTATAATATCTCCATATTAATTTAGTGTCATTATATAAACTTAGCATATCCTAGAGTATCTCTTCATATCAGATTTAATATTAGTTATTATTATCATGATTTGTTCTGATTTTCTAAACTGATTTGTAGTTCTCTTCAAGCTCATGAATTTTGTGCTTCCAAACTTCTTCACTAAGACACATACAAATTCAAGTAATCATGAGATACTGAGAATGTGTTGTAAATATTTTCTTATGTTTTCTGATCTTTAATTGCATTTGCAGACATAAACTAATTATTAATCTTTGCTTATTATATCCAGGGAAAAAAACTGTTAGGAACCCAATATTCAAGAGAAAATAAATTGTATTATTAATAGAAAAACAGTAACTATTACAGAAGAATAACCCCTGCAACTCCAGAGCAAAGCTCCTCCTCGGAGAAGAGAAAATTATCTGTCCAAATCATTGCGGTTCCTAATTGAATAATTCTCAATGCCTTCTCTCTTGCTATCACTATCCTTTATATAACTATCATTCCCCTCTAACCAACTAGCCACATCAGCAAATATAACTCATTTTTCTATTCGACACATTTGTTGGGCTTAGACCCAAACCAAGTACCTAACAAAGACACTTCTATTTCCGAAGATGAAAATAACTAGTTCAGTTATAAAGCTCTAAATGATAAGATATTTTGAACACAATAATCTAAACCAGAATAAGTTATTTTGAAAAAATTGAAGAATGATAGCTGTGACGCAGACAAAGCAGAAATATGTCAATGTTATTGTTTGTAGTTGCAGATTAATTCAACTGAAGTCTTGGGGGAATCTTCTGCATTGATATAAAACATTTTGAATCAAATAGATATAGAAAGTAGAAACATTTTCCATACAATCAAGACTACAATATGGAGACTCACATCCAGACAAACAACCCTAATGGAATTCGAATAAAAGTTACACGAAAAAAATAACTTTTATAGAAAGTAGAAAATTTTCCATACAAACAAGACTATAAGTTGGAGATTCACATCCAGACAAACAGCACTGGTCAAGTTTGGATAAAAGTTATACGAAAAATTACCTTGCTTCTTGAAGATCCCGCTGTTTCATCAATAAAAGACCATAAGCAAAAAGAATGCCCGTTTTCTCTCTAACTCCTACAAAAGAATCCATTATACCATAAACTGGCCTAATCAAATCAAGTGCCTGCAGGCAAAATATGTTTTGGTTAACAAAATAATGCCCATAGGTTCAACCTGCTTCAAAAAAAAAGTAAGTAGCACCAATTCAACTAGAGGTATCACTACACCTGTGAAGTAGATTCAGCATCACCAATGCAGATATAAGAAACAGCTGCATAAACCTGGCACATGGTTTTCATTGATTTGCTGTCTGTAAGCTACACAAAAAATATGAAGTTCTATCAGGATGACCATTAAAGTATCCCCATCAAGAATTCATATCATTAACTAAACAAAACACCTTACATGTGATCTCAAGCAAGCTAAACCAGCATATGAATGTATCACCAGTAAAAAAGCTGAAAAGAGTGAATCTTGATCACTACAAAAATATATACTATATATATACCTTTACTGCTTCAAGATAATGAAAGGTGGCTTCGTTATAACAGCCAACAGAATGAGCATATTGGCCTCTAAGCATCTCAATGTTGCATTCACATGGCTGTAATATAGTCGGAAATCGCATGAACCATTTTTTCATCTGTACCAATGCCTGAAATTTTGCACAGAATGCCATTAATGATTTCAAGTATAGTAGAATGCAAATTCGCTGCCAACTTTTCAAAATCCACTACACTAGTTGGAAACCACGTAAACCAATTTTTCATCTGTAACAAAGCATGAAAATTTGCACAGATTGCCATTAATTTCATATTTTAAGTATGACATGATGCAAATTCACTACAAACTTCTCAAATCCACGACACTAGTACAAGAAACATATCGCCAAAACCAAGACAGCTAATAAGGTGGATATTAAATGAGATTTGAAATTTAACAGAATGTAATGCAAGTTATTACATGGAAGTCACTATTTCCACAACAGCGTGGCAGAAAAAGCACCAAATCAACATAAAAAGGAAAAATAAAGATGGGCAAAACAAACCCAAACTGTATTAAACACTAAAACCCATTTTAATCTCAACTAACAGAACGTTTCAGCCATATATCACTTGCACTTATCTGTCACCTCTCACCCACACATGTCTATCATCTCTCAGTTGCTCTCATCTTTGGTGAACAGCACATCTTTGAGAAAATAGTGACTTCCTTTCTCTTTTGTAATATCTTTTTCTATTTCCATATTCTGTTTAAAATGAACATAAAATGGAAAATAAAGATGGGCAGATCCCCAAACTGTATTAAACACTAAGCCATGTCGTTTTCCTCCTTTTGTAATATCTAATTCCATATTTTCTAAGTTCCCCCACTCCTTTCTTGTCCTCTTATTCTGCTCTGCATACTTCTCTCTTTTACTGTCTATCTCTATTTCATTCACACTGTTTCTCCGTTTTGTAAATTGTGAGTTTCTTAGTCTCTGCTCTGTAAAAAGAATATTATTCTTGTCCTACTTTTATTTTTTGTTTTGATTTCAATCATATGATTTTATCTTCTTTATTTAACGGTGTTCTACTTTTTCTCCTTGTTTTTATAACTGTCTTCAACAACAGTTTTAGTATGCTGTGAGTTTTTTCTCCTTTCACCATGAACCACGATAAGCCATCAATAGCATTGCTCGTCCTTAGTGCTCCACAATATACTACAGAAACCCAAATATATAAGCACAACACAAAGATAACAAACCTCTTGTGCTTCAGCGAACTCTGTCCGTGTGAGCTCTATGGCCACTTTGTTTTCAAGAAACTGAATTAGTAGCATTAAGTATACTCCAGCCATATAGATAGAAGATTGTTGCAAGTCCGCTTCTGTTAAACAAGAAAATTTAACCAGTTGCATATGGAATCTTTGTTTGCATAAAAGCATAGTAGTCTTGTGGATAGAATAAGAATAATGAATCTCACCTCTGACACGATCAGTAATTCCAAGCTTCACTAATTCACCTGCAAGGAAGAAAAATCATTTTCATAAGGAAAGTGACTTGAAAGTGGCAAGGATGACTCAGTCTCAACAGCAGTTAGTAACATGGAAATCCATATGCACGAATAACAAAAACAAATCAACTCGTTGATCATGTTCTCTGAAAGAATAATCCAAAGGAGTGATGCTTCTAATCCAATGATGTTTCAAAAATGTATGTAACAATAAATTCTAGAAACAACCAGAAAATACATTTTATGGCTGTGAGTAGACATATAGAATATCTGGCAAGTAGTAACGATGATAGCCTGAGGAAGTGCAAATTTAAAACAGCAATTTCTATTTTGAATTCCAAATTAGTACTTGTAAGTTGTATTTGCAGTCTAATGCTTTTGCTTTTACATGCCAAAAACAATAAATTGATCCAAAGCCAAAGGAAGGAAAATGCATGCAGACAGAGACCAAAAACTGTTACCAAACAACCTTGAATTATACGCATGCCAGACTGTATGCGCTTTCCACACTCCTTAAAAAGTCCTTTGGGGCGCCCAAATATAACAACTATTAGATCAACAAGTGCATAGACAGCACTTTTAGGAAGCCATTCCCCATCAATAGGAGGTGGTGCTAATTGAAGCTTATCTCCTAGTGTCCTTCTACCATTCCCAAAATATACTGGTTCAAGGGATTCCCGCCCAGTTGAACTGAACCCATTTGTGTTTCTCAGCTGTTCTTGAATCATTGTTTGCTTCTCAGACAGTGCTGCTCTTTCTCTGTAGTGAAGATCAGACCTGGAAAGACTTTGATCTAAAGCACTGAGCTCCTTCACTAGCTCTTGCATATGTTGTGTTTGCTTCCTTTCAGCCTTCACGGCAGCATCCAGATTGTCTACATGGGGTGCGGCATTCTTGTAATCACATAGCCGCGTTCGATAGAATATATGCAGTAATTCATTATAAAAGAGCAAGCCAGGGCATTGTTGTCTCTGAGGATTGTGCGGAAGCAAATGAGTAAAGAGTTAGATTAAATTCAAAAAGGAATCAAGGTAGAGTTCAGTTGCAAACATGCTCATGTCTGTGGGTGAACATTGTCTACACATGAAAAGTTAGAAGCTAAAGAACATTTGCACTCACTTTATCTGGCTCAATTGACTCCCAAATCTCATTGCATTTATTAACAGCTTGCTCAACCAAATTACTATCATCCCATTTTATGAGGTGGACATGCAATATCGAAGTGGCAAAGAACATCTGGTCCAAACAATAAAACAAGGAATTACTGACAGACAGATGGCAAATATTATAGCAAACTCGGCATAATTGGAACACCCCTTATTTTAGCAAACTAAAGTGTTGACACGCATGCAACATGTGTGAAAAGAAGTCAAATATCAAAATAGAACCAGTTAAAAAGGATGAAAGTGAAGAGTTAAGAATAAGGGAAGGAAAAAAGAAGAGGGAATTTGTTCATTTAAAAATTTCAATTTAGTTTTAAGAATATTTGTTATAGCTTTATTATAAATTTATTAAAAAGGTAAGTAAAGGTGTTTGATCTAAAACTTGAAAAGATTTCCAGAAGGGTCTACCTATTAGTGGTAACATTTCAGTTTAATTTATGACTCAGATGCAAAGGGTAGAGAAGGAAGCAAATGAAATTTTGACAACTGATTTAAATAATTTATTTTAACTGTTACTGTCGTTATTTTTTTACTATTGTTAGTAGTAATTTATATTCGGACCTTAAGTCCATTGATTAGGCCCATTAGATTAGAATAGTCTATATAAAGAGATTCGTGCTCGTACATTATTCATATTTGAAATATATTATTCATTTTTCACAACAACTAACCTGCAACTCCGGGTTGCGTACATCTGTAGCACAGTCATATCCACATTCTAAAGCAGAGAATGAACCCTGGTAGTCTCCTTCAATTGACAAAGCATTTGCAAGCTGTGAATTGAAGTTGCAAGACCACAATTTTGTTGAAATTCTTCAACATGATAAGCAAAAAACATGTAACAGAAGCAGCATTAGTTGGTAAGATTTGCATGCAACGCAGTCATATTGATAACACATTATAAAAATATGTGATAAATAATTAACTATTTGAAGCCTGTAATTTAGAAATTAAAAAAAGAAGCTTTCCAGCTCTTCATCAATATAAAATATTCAACACCTTTGTCAGACATGAATACTCATGTGAAAAAGTAAAAGGTGATTTTCGGGCTGAAAATGTAGGTATAGCCGTATAGGTATACAATTACTATTGAGTTTAGTTATTTATCATGAAACAAATGGTACAGGTGCGTGAAAAGAGGGAAAAGCATAAATGATAGGGGGCATGGAAAGAACAAACAGCAAATGTTTCCTCTACAGTTTACACTCTGGTGTAAAAGTTACAACTTATGAATTTCCATTCATACAAATCAGAACTTTCCATTACTATTTAGCATTTACTATATACAGACTACAGCTAACGTTTTTACAATCTCTCTCAAGTTAAAACTTAAAACATATAAATTGTTGGACTTCTCGCCTTAATTGCAGTCCGCCCCTAGTCACCTTAATTGCGGCACTTTGGCTTGCCTCATTGCAGCCTCTAACACTTTCATTGTGTTAGCTTTGAAGGGGTGGATTTAGTCCCACATTGCTTAGAGATATGGTCTGTGTTGTGTTTATAAATGAGGTAATCCTCACCTTATAAGACGGTGTTTGTAGGGATGAGTTAGGCCCATCCAAATTCTCAGATGGTATCAGAGCCTATCTTAGATCCATTGTTGGGCTTCCCGCATCGTCCAAGCTTCGGGCTCATTGAGGCCCAAGCGTGAGGGGGTGTGTTGGACTTTTCGCCTTAATTGCAGCACTTTGGCTTGCCTCATTGCAGCCCCTAACACCTTCATTGTGTTAGCTTTGAAGGGGTGGATTTAGTTGCCTCATTGCAGCCCCTAACAACTTCATTGTGTTAGCTTTGAAGGGGTGGATTTAGTCCCATGTTGCTTAGAGATATGGTATGTGTTGTGTTTATAAATGGGAGCAATCCTCACCTTATAAATCAGGTTTTGTAAGAATGAGTTAGGCCCAGAGAGAGAGAGAGAGGGCACTCCTATAAAACAATAGGAAGGAACTACTTGTAATAAGTTTTTTAGACTTGGAGGAGGATAGTTTGCATCCCTATTCTAAGTGAACATTATCCAAAGCAACAAGCAAATCATAATTATATATATTTATAAAGGCATCTTCAACAAAAGTTTTAAACCATGATCCCATCTCATTCCTTGATATTAACTGCAACTACATATAGCAGCCAAATCTTGGTTACGAATCTTTACTGAAAACTCTATTATTGACCAAAGAACACATTTCATTCATAGTTTTAAAAACCATCCCCCAATTTGACCGCAATTTAAATCATATTAATCACACTATATTTGGCAACAATTCTACACTCCACAAAACCACAATTTAAAACACGAATTGCTAAATCCATAAAATAATAAAAATTAAAAGCAAAGACTTAGAAGCATACTCATGCCCCGCAGAAGCAGCAAGCTCAAGACCTTTAAACAACACTTGTTTCTGAGGTTGAATAGCTCCAAGAAGTTGATAACACTGACTCAACAAACTATAAGCTCTACACTTTAATTCAAAACATCTAGGTATAGACTTCAAAAGCAATTGCTACAACAACAGCATCAACAACAACGAAAAATTAATTAAAAATAAGTTAATCGAACGAAATTGAAGGATTGAGAAGATACTAACGGCACGTTCGAGGTGAGATTTAGCGTGATTAGCGTTGTGAGAATGATGAAGAAGGATTGAAGCGATTCGAAGACGGGTTTTGACTTCGACAATTGGGGAAAACGAAACCTCGCTTTGGCAAATTGCTTCTAGACATTTTATGGATTTTGCGATTTCGCCGCGATTTTCGTGATAGTCTGATAAACCCCATAGTCCTTCTGCTACTTCTTCCATTGATGATTTCTTTGTTTACTGAAACCCCTTTTCTCAAGGATCTCTTAAATTTCAACTCATTTTTGACAAATTGATATCTTAGTTTTCAATTTCAACAGTGGTTTTTAATTTTTTTTAAAATTTTTTTAAGGCTAGAAAATAGAGTCAACAGTCAAGTGTGGTAGAATAAAAAAAGAAAAAGAAAAATGTTTGGTTTCTGTTTCTTGTGTATATGTGTTTGGCTTGGTTTTGGGAGATGCTACTACTATTCACACCCTAGCTTTCGTAAGTATGTTATTAATATTAGGGTTAAATTTCTTTCTCCTATAAAATTATCATATTTAGTTTTTATTCCTATAAAAAAAAAATAGCGTGATTGATTCCCTACGAAATAATTATGCAAGTAGTTTTAATTTTTATTATTAAGTTAATGTGTATTTTTAAATGATTATTTTGTAGATATGTTTAGACCGTTATAAAAAGTTCCTCGAAAAAAAAAAACTCAAAATTTGATTTATAAGTCGAGATTTGCCTTATTTTTATCATTATTTTTTAAAATTTAAAAAATTCATATTTAATTTTTTTAATTTTAAAAATTATATAATTTGGTAAATAAACATTTTGTAGTAATGTGAACACGTATCAAAAAAATTATTCAAAAATTTAAATGTTTAGGAGTAATTCAATAGTTTTCAAAAATTTTAAAAATAGCAAGGATTAAAATTGCATACATAAAATTTGTGTAGGACCAAAATATGTCCTTTTTTTTATAAAAACTAAAAATAAAACGTGAGATATTTATAGGGACTAAAAATATATTTAACTCTTAATATTATGAAGACATAAATGATGGTCTTTTATTTTTGCCGTTTTAAACAATTTGTTCCTTATTATAAAACCAGCGATTTTGGTTCTTTAATTTAGATAAGCATTGGATTTTTACAGTCTCTCTCCATTTTTGCATAGGTGACAGTGATGATTAAGATTTAAAAATTATTTTTAATTACTTGGCAAAGATGACTAGGATATTTTGATGTTAAATAATGTTTTTAACTAATTTAATATTTTTTTAACTAATTCAATATTTTTAATACTTTTTTAGAGAATTAATAATTTAAATTATTATTTAATTAATTAAAATTTTGAAAAATCATTAAGGGCCTAAGTGTAAAAAATGTTTAGCTCTCAAAGGCCCAATTCCATCCCAATCCACTTATGCATTACTTTATTCTTGACCAAGTTTTATAAACTCTTCCATAATACTAAGAGAAAATGATGTGAGACTCCACAAAATTAAAACTGCTTCTACAAAATTGTTTTACTTCACAACAACAACAACTCCATGCTGAAAAGGTGAGTTTTCAATGGTATCAAATAACCCAAGTGAACTAGTGGAAAGGGTTGAACCCAGTAACGTGCTCGAATTATTTGGTGACTTTCCAATGGTGTCAGATAACACAACAAAAAAAATGAAAAGTTATTTGTGGTGATAGCTCATATTCTTGGATTGGGACTGTGTAAAGGGACTTTGTGGTAATAGCTCAACAATTCAAAACATTATCATTTAACTGATGAGCTGAAATTTCATTGTGAAGATCACTAAGCACTCCAAGGTGGTTGCCGCAGGGAGCAGGAAGTAACATAGCTAATCATATAACATATGGATACGAGGTTGGTTGGTTGGTTAAAGTTGTTTCTTTTGTTTTGTTTCTTTTTTGTTTAATTAATTCAAAGATTCATAGAGTGAGGTTAATTAATTAATCAATTGACCCCGTTCTTTAATTATTTATTTATTTTCTTGTTTGTTTTGCATCAGAGGGAGAATGAGAAAGGCATGTCATATGTGTGTCTTGATGAATACACACCAGAAATGCACGGCAGACCTTTTAATTACCACAAAAACTACAACATCATAAAATTGTAAGTTCAGGAATCACAGTCCAGGTAACACTTAGAAGCTCACATCGATTTTCACCGAGAATGAAACTCTTTTCTTTTTGTTGTTAATCCTTTTGCTTCTATAGGTCTGGGTTGATGAAGTTAAAGAAAGACTTAAGGATTTGAGCAGTGATAAAAATGGTTTATGTGTAGATTGAGATATGGTATTGTCCCACATTGTTTATGTTATACTTCTATTTAGTATTTATATAGTTTATTCAAACCATGTCTCTTGACTACTTGTGGATTGAAAAGAAGTTAAAAGTATGGGCCTTAAGCCCATATAAGTATCTTTTAAAACTTGTATTAAATTTTTTTTAAAGAGCATATTAATTAAACGAAATATTAATAAATAAATTATCATTAATTAAAAGACATAATTAATTTAACTAAAAAATATTAATAAATAAATATTCTAGTCATCAATGTCATGTCATTAAAAATAAAAATTATATCCTAATCATCACTGCCACGTATGCAAAATTGGAGGGGGATTACAAAAATCCAAAGATCATCAAAATTAAAGGACCAGAATGACTGGTTTTGTAATATGGGGATCAATAGTTTAAAACGTCCAATCTAGGGGGACCAAAAATGAAATTATGCCTATTAGGAATTAATAATACACTTGCTTATATTTGACAATTAATTTTTTCCTAAAATGTTTATGTTAGAATGATCATTTATGTCACTATTGAGTAGGGGTGTTCGTGGTGTGGCTCGATTTGGTTCGGTTGACTTTTAGAAATTGATCTTACCATATCAGAAAAGGATCAGCAGCCAGCAACACGTCGTGAGCTCCTAATTTGTCGGTGGTCGAAAAAAGGAGGGGTTGTACATGCAAGACACTCCAATGCTAAAGTCAGTTTCAGTAAGAGGGATAAGGCAAGTACAAAAAATGGTGAGAATAGAATACCCGACCCTCTAGTGAAAAAGGGTATTTATAATGTGTCCACAGCGCTGGGTCAACGGTTACTTTGCATTGGATTGGATCACTATGTCTAATACGAGTAACTGCTAGGTTCTACGTGGCACATGAAAGACCAGCGCGTGGTCTTCATCCTGGGACAACTGTCCTGTGATCTTTGGGAGGTGGGTGACTTATTATTTTAGATGTGGATAGTTGCCTGATGACGTGTCCTCGTGTGGGGGCACGTGGAGTCTATGGGGGATACACGTAAGTACTCCCCGTGTGATGTGATGAATTGGACCCTTATTCGGCCCTCCCTGACGAAGAGACGGATTGGGTTGTGCCCGACAGTGGGGCAGCCTCTGTCCCAGTCCAGAATAGAAGCCCCACAAGTCGTTGCTCAGAAGCATAAGACTAATGACTTAAGAGTTAGTTCTAGCGTCGAGGGCCTTCCCGAAGTACTGAGCCCGCGGGAAAATGCACGTGGCCAGGAGTAGGAGCCGCTCGACAGGACAGGTGCTTGCAGGGAGACATGTCCGTCAGATGTAGTCCTTGCTCTTCTCCCGCCTCTCCCGGGGAGACATTACGACGAAAAGGGAAAGGAACAGGCACATATGGTCTCGAGCAGAAGAAGGATTTGAATGGACATGCATGGTGTCTTCTAGGGACACATGTGAAGAGTAATAAATTCTTAGGGCGGCTGCGAGTAAGGGGTCCTTGAGTGCCTAGTGATGCCCCGCTTCTCGTTCTAGGGTTATAAATAGGGGGAAATCCGCTTCATTTTCACGATCCCCTTTATTCTACTCAGGATTTTTCCCTAAATCTCTCAAAGTTCTCTCTGCTCCCCAAAGTACGTTCACCGTCGCAACCGTTGTCCAGAATCCACTTTCCTTCAAGTAAGTCCCTGGCCCTTTTCCAGATTCTATGAATTTTTCGATGATGTTTCCGTTGAGTCTATGAGGTTTCCAATAAACTGATGAAGTTCCCAACGAACTCATAAAGTTTTCGGTGGAACCATGAAGTTTTCGGCAGATTCATGAATTTTCCGATGAAGATGTCAGGGAGTTCATGAGGATTCTGGGGAACTTCAAGGGGTTTCCGCTGAAGGCCTCGGGGTCCTACAATGAAGGCCTCGGGAAGCCCTTCTCCTTGTGAACGCGTGAACATCGCGAGGAAGTCACTTGTCGAGGAGGCTTCTCGTGTTCAATTGGAGAGATTTTACGTGCTAAGTAGCCTTTCTGTCGAGGAGGGAGGCTCGATGTATTACGTCGAGGAGAGTATCTTCGTGGATGAGCCTCTCTAGCAAGGAGGGGCCCCCACTGTTTTGCATTAAGGAGAGTCTTCTTGTTGAGGGGTTTTCCTTGGCGAGTGTTATGGTTGGGGAAGCTTGTCGAGCGACTTATCGCCCTTTTCTTCTCCCTTTCACTTGATTTGCGGTTGAAGGGTGGATTTGATATTAGATGTTGAATTCACCATTTTCCTTTGCTTTTCAGGTAAAATGGTCATAAAGGCCGAGGGTGTCATTATAATCGATGAGGAAGTCGAGCCTGACGCCTCCGTTGAGCAAGTCAGGGTCAAGCAAACCCATACACCTTTAGATTCAGCCGGGAAGGAACCCCTTAGCATCGTGTCACGCTTCTCCATCGATGACTCAAACGCCTTTGCTACCGTCGAGAACCTTGTCGGTGACGTCTCCCCGAATTGGATAGTTTACAAGCCCAAAGAGACGCATCATATATGCTCATCATTCAAAGGGATGCGGTTCTCGATGTACGAGTTTGCGTTTCGGGACGCAGGGCTTTGTCTGTCCTTTAGTGATTTCCAGAAGGGGGTGTTCCAGTGGCTACATTTGGCACCTTCACAGCTTCACGCGATTGTGTTTGTGCAAGCGTTCGAGCTCGTGTGTCAACACCTTTGCATTGGAGCTATGTTCCCTTGTTCTTTTGCACCTTTCATCTACAACGACAATCCTTCCAAGTTCGACATAATTGGGTATCCCTAAAGAAGTAGAGGAAGTTGTTCCAAATGTATCAGGATTCTGTCTGTACCTTTAAGGACAGGTACTTCGTCGTAAATCTTGTGTCGCATGCGGCTGTTGACTCCATGTACGACCTTATGGTCAAGTAGGAGGACGAGGAACAGGTGGAGTCTTTAGAGGCAAAGTTCCCTCTCG